GCCGCTCAGGGCGGCGCTGTGAAGACTCACACAGCAGTCCGCTACCGTACCCCAGCCGCGTTGATGTTATTTTCATGTTTCCTCTTACATTGCTCGCTGTGCCACACCCGCCTCTCAGCCGAGGAAAGCAACAAGAGGATAGGGTACCGCAGTGTGCAGTGGGCGGACTTCATCATCCAAGAGAAGATTTCGATGCAGATGGCCAACGGCGTCGCCGACGGAACCATCGGGACGGGCAGGGCAGCGCGAGACACGGACTACACGGAGTACCAGCTGCCAAGCCAACAATGTATCCAGCACAGGTGGAGGAAGGAGGCTGGCGCCCCCAATCCAGGCGGACTGGCAGTACTACTGAATAAGGGACTCAGCGGGAGTGTCCCGAGAATGATTGCGCCTCCGACGACGAGCGGCATCGCAGGACGGAATGGCATGATTACAGTCAGTATGAGCACAATAGACGTGGCGTCGTTCCCCATCTTCATACCACCGAGGGGCATGGCCGTCAACCAGAGCGAGCTAAGCAAGTGGGGTCGCAACAGCCTCCCCATCATTTCTGGCGACTACAACTGCGCTTTTGGAATACGCCGACACACAACAGAAAAAAAAAACATCGAGGCCACCGAGTCTAGCGGTACAGAGGAGCCCGCCCTAGAGAACACCACCAGCCCGCAGAGGAGCGACCTCAAGGATGACAACCACTTGGCGATCGGAGACGCTTTCATGGGGACAGGGAACGCCTACTACGGAAGCGCCTACACAAGCAACTTAGACCATGTTGCTTTGCCTGCGAAAGCCATGTGCAGGGCTCGCCAACCTTACCCCGAGGCTTGTTTGGCGCGACGTCTCCAGTTACACAATCCCGCGCACCTGACCGACCACATGCTGATTTACATGAATCTGGATGTGCACAGCGCCAAGACCCACAACAGCAAGCTCACGCCGCATGCCAACTACGACCTGATGATGATCACTTCCACACGGGGCTACAAACGCCTGGAGCTATCAAAACAAGAAGGGGATAATACCCAGCAGGCAGACGAGATGGAGTGGCGCAAAGCCTGGGACCAAGACAACGCTCAAAAGAGGTGAGACATACTTTCTAACAGTATTCGTGAAGTCAGACAGGAGACGTTCCCTAAGCAGGAACAGGACAACATCGGATACGACGAGATTGGGACGTTGAAAATCGATCGACGCACCGAGCTCCCGAGATTTACGAGTGAAGGGGGGCTCACAGCACACAGTACCCATCGAGACCTTCTCAGCCCCGAAGGCGCCCGACGAGCAGCCCGACCTCAGAGCGGCGATGGAGAAGCCGACGACGACAGCAGCTGCGCAAACGAGTACGTAGGCACGCACCAGACGGGGGTGGAGAGCGAGAGCAGATGCTGCGGAATGACATTGAAGAAGCAGAACAAGTTCGCCCCGCGCACAGGACTGACAGCATCACAATGGGATGACGGACCGAGCCGACCGCCACAGCTTGGAGGAATACTGTACGAGAACATTGATTGGCAGGAGTGGATCACCGACCGCGCCTCCGTGCTGCTCACCTACGAGTCATTGCACGCAGGCGACTTCGGGGATCAGACTCGCCAAGACCGAGCAGGCCAGAATCGATGCGCAGAGCCCCCAAACGACGTGCAGGACCAGCACGAGGAGTGATAGCGCCGACACCATGCATGTGCAGCGACAGGCGATACCACGACAACGAGCACGAACGGAAGTAGAACCCAGAGAGCTTCAACAGACGGCATGGTGATTTACACGCGCTGATTCGCCTGGAAGGATCAGCCCCGCAGAGAACCACACGGTCGCTGTCGTTCCCCCAGGACAAGGGCAATGAGAAGCTTGTGAACCAAGGGCGACAAATCCTTCATCGACTCGAAGCGCCACGAGAGCATGCACGAACACAAACAACCTCTTCCAGATCCATGACCGTCAGCACGAACATGTGTACATGGTGCCGCACAGCGGTTACGAGCAGGGCAACATGGCTGCGCTACAGGTTCAGGCGACCACAACGACGCAGAGAAAGTGCTGACGCAGAAGACGTCACCCAACAACGAGCAGACGATCAGGCAGCTGTCAGGCAGCCAATGGGACCGTTTTTCGATTTACGGCGAATACAAAGCAGTGACCGCCGCGGAAGCAGCGGACACAACCGATGCGGAGAAGGCCGAGGAGAAGAACAGCAAGGACTTGGGGACACCGCGCCTCCACATCGGCATAGACTTCCACCTGGAGAATGGGCTCAACGACAGGCCCGACGAAACCAACAATACGATTCAGAAGGAGGATCGCTCGTTGACCTACGTGATGGGCATGCAGGGCTTCGGGGGCATCGCTTCGTATATTAAAGTCAAGAAGGCCTACAGCGAAGGGGGGCAGCCAGAGAGATGGAAGCTCCAGCCGACGCTCAACAGCCTCGCATGCAGCCCTCGGGCACCCTCGTGGGAGGACCAGATCAACGCCCCTCGAGAAGGACGACAGGAGCCGCCCGTCAAGATCAGCCGCACCAAGCAGAATGGGGACCTCAGGAAAGCCGTCGAGGACAAATTCCGAACGGCAGAGGCAGAGCAGATACTCAGATCACCGCCGCCATCAGGTCTCGTGAGGAAAGTACAGGCAGCATTGTGAGTACGTCAGCTGGCGATGGGGGGGATAGAGATGACAGAATGTAGGGAGCTAGCCAGGGATAGCAGTCGCAAGGCGATGGACCGCTGCGACGCACCACCATTCGTCATGGCCCTCGTACTTTCTTGTACGTGAAGTCGTTGAGCACCTGTCTCGAGGATTTAGGCGCCAAAGGGTGCCTCTCTTGGTTTCCCTCCCTGGTCCCCGAGGCGTTCGCCTGTTTCGATGTGTTCCTTCGTGGGCCTTGCGGTCCGCCGCAGCGTGGGAACCTGGAACTCGGGACCAGACATGCGCGCAACGACGGAGCGTGCAGCAGCTTTAGATAGAGGAACTCGGGGGGGGAGTGCGGGCCGGAGGAGGGGGGGGCGGCGGGAATATTGCTACACTGGGACACGTCCCGAGCCAGGGGCGATTGGCCAGACAGCCTTAAGTCCCTGCCGTTTCCATAACAATTTTGTTTTCGGGAAGGCCCCGCGCTGAAGCGGACCGAGAGGCTAAAAAGCCAGGGTCCCGCACGCGACCCGTCGATCCGCCCATCTGACGTGCCAGCAGCAATTAGGTTCGTACGCAGTCGAACCCCAGACAGCTGCCAAGGCTTCCGACTCCTCCTCCTCCTCCTCCTCCTCCTCGGCCTCATGACGATGGTTGCACGATTGTGGTCCATGGCACGTGAAGAACACGTACAACAGTGGAATCGAGATTACTTTGCACATTGGGATGCTATAGCCAAGGGCAACTCGGCTTTCCGCGAGGCGTACGAAAGATGCCTGCACGAGGAGCTTTCGACCTACCTCCGCATCCCGCAGGCACATGGCCTGCTCGATATCGCCCAGTTCTACGACTCCATCCACTGGGTCACCCTCATCGACGACGCGCTCGACCTCAACTTCCCACCAGAAGTTCTTGGACTTGAGATCTTGCAGTGTACCGCTCCCCGCACGCTCATGCAGAACGGCGCGTATGCGGAAGCACTCCATCCCACGCGCTCTGTCGCACAGGGACTACGGTCTGGCCCACGATTCGCCAAGATCATGACTTACAAGGCACTTCAACGCATCACCCATCACTACCCCGACCTCCAGCATCGCATTTGGGTCGACGACCTGTCGCAGCGCCTGCAAGCCAGCCGACGAGCATTACGACGCCGCATGGTAGCTTGCCTCGCCGACACCTGCATCGCGCTCCAGGACCAGGGCCTTGCTGTTGCTAAGAAGAGCGTCATCGTCTGCACACACCACGACGACGCCAGGTATATCGCGAACGCCATGAGGAGGAAGGGTTCCCCCATCCGCGCCAACACCCAGGCCAGCTACCTCGGCATCGACCTCGGTTGCGGCATACGACACGCACGGCGCACCACCACCCAGCGACGCCGCAAGCACGACGCCATGCACCAGAAGATACTTCGCTTCACACGCGCGACACGGCGATATCGCATCTCATCTAAGCTCGCCGTACAAGGAGGGATGCCCGCAGTCACCTACGGACACCAAGTCTACGGCGCATTCGGCACGACTATGACCACCTACCGCCGACGCGTCGGCGACGCAGTGGGACCTCGCTTACGTGGACGGTGCCTCGCTACCCTCCTCGACCTACGCGGCCACGACCCAGCCCGCAAACTGCCGCACGACGCACTCAAGGCATGGCTCACCACCTGGATACAAGGAGGCCCCCTCCAACGTGTTATCCAAGCCACTTGGAAGACCGTCGTCTCCAACTTCAAGACCATGCCGCCACATGTACGAGTACGACACATACGTGGACCACAGTCTACCATCATCCACTACCTCATGCAGCACGACTGGGAGCCTCTGGAGCCCAACAAATGGCGCCTTCCACCAGCACTCTCCGACTGCGGCGACACCTGGGAGTTCGACGCCCAGCAGCTCACGGGACACCCCGACGCCGACATCCCACATCAACTACTTCACGACCTCGACGCCAGCATTCAACACCAACAATGGCAGCGTGCCAGTACCCACCACGGCGGAGAAGGCATGCAGCAGGGGATCGACAACTACTCCTACCGCAGGCTCCTTCGGTACCTCGAGAGTCTCGCAGACGGCGCACGTCTTGCGAGCCTCATGCTCACCATCGCAGTGGGTGCCATGTGGACACGCACCAGGGTCGCCGCTGAAACGTCCACCACCATGCCCACCACATACCCACGCTGTGGCACCAGCGACGAGGACGACTACCACCGCTGCTGGGAGTGCGGGGGCAATAGCACCAACAACATCATACTCGCCTCCAACACCCTGTGTGCAGAGGCTGCTTCCCAACGGGCTATGTTCGAGTGCTTCTGGACGCGAGGCCTACTACCTGCGCAGTGGACAGCTCTTCCACCACCACCACAGCACGACCAATGGGAACATTTCAACTGCAACGGCCACAATGACGGATGCATGGACAACGTAGGAGGACATCCGACCTACGCCTTCGGCGATGCCAGTGGGGGCCCCGACACTGCTGTCACTCCCCTGAGGAGGATCGGCATAGGTGTCGCCTTTTTCGCCGACCTCAACAAGTGCGACATGCCGCCACGGGGCGCAACTTGGGGGCCCCTCGCGGGCAGCCGCCAGACCGTCATCCGTGGTGAACTCATGGCCCTGGTCGTGGCCGCTGAGAGCGTTACTGACGACCTCGTCTACTTCACGGACAGTGAGGGCTGCTACAACAACTACCACAACGGACACACGGACAACCCAGTCGGACCCGACGCGGACCTGTGGGCACGGCTCGGGCGTAATATCTCTTCTCGCAGCGGTTCCCTCACCATCTTATGGATTCCCTCGCACATGAGTGCCCACGACGTCTATCAGGGCAAGATCCCCGCCACCCTCGCCTACGGCAACACCGTGGCGGACGAGATCGCAGGAGCTGCAGCGCAGGCAGCCAGAGTCTCATCTTCCGACAGGCAGCGATACGAATTGATTGAGCAAAAGGCATTTCTAGTCCGCATGAGATTGCTCCGCACATCCCTTGAAGCGCTTGAGCACGCTAGGAATAACGATCAGTCTTCTGGGGATTACCGCCCAAAGAGGCAGAGAGGCGCGGCTCCACAGAAGCCACCCGCCCCCCGCGTTTGTGCCCTGTTCCAGTCCCAGCACTCTGTAGCCCCTTGTGGATCCAAGTGCACCCGTTGTAGGACCACTACCACGCTGGCCTCAAGGGCCCAGTGGTTGCTCAGTGACTGCTTCGATCTATGTAATGTCGATGGCGCATATATGATGGCTCCTCTTGGGAAACAGGTACACGTCGCAGGGGGATATGTTGACTCGACTCACACTTTAAGGTTCCACGCTGGGCTGAATATATGGTTTTGTTCCGTCTGCGGGTCCTACGCAAACCAGCTTCTCGGGAAACTCGGGGGTCGGTGCGAGACCCCGACACCGACAGGCATTGCTTACCTGCGGAGAATCGCCAAGGGAATCTGGCCTAAGGCCCTCAGTCGAGCTGAGCGCGAAGCCAGAGACCAACGCACCCCACGGAGGGTCGCGGATCTTTAATTTCAGTCAATCGCTACGCGATCATGCAGAATCTCCAGAATCTCCTCCTCCTCCTCCTCCTCCTCCTCCTCTTCCTCCTCCTCCTCCTCCTCCTCCTCCTCCTCCTCCTCCTCCTCCTCCTCCTCTCTTCTCTCCCTATAGCATCCTCCCCCTCCTCTCGTCTTCCTCCTTTCTCCACCTCTCTCCAGGGATGCAGGAAGTCAGATATCCTCTTCAGGGGGTCCTGGTCTCTCAATGGGGACTCGTCGCGCAGTGACTGTGAATGCCAGCGCAGGGCCCACGAGGAAGGGCCTCAGAACGGACGGGGGCGTACAGCAGCTAGCAGAGTTGTTGGCGCAGCCTGTCTCCACTCTGGGCCCCCTCCTGCCCCGCCCCCTCCCATCCTCGCCAGGAGACGCCCTCCCCCATGCGTTCACCGCCCACCCCGCCAACAGACCTGCCTTGCCCTGGGGCAGGCCCTCTCTTGCTCGCCCTCCGACCTCCTGGGCCCAGGCCTCCGAGGAGACGCCAAGGAGGGCGCACGTTGTCATTGCTTTCGGAGGTCGCCAGGGTGGGGGGGGGGGTGCGCGTCTGTAGAGGACTGCGGATCGGCTCGGAGGAGCTCCACAGGGGTTTTGGATTGGCTGCAGACGTTTGGTGAACGCGTCTGGGCTTCAAGAGGAGGAGGGAAAGGAGGAGCAGGAGGAGGTGGAGGACAAGGGTAAGCCCAAGGCGCGCCAACGCAGTTGCAATACACCCTCCATCCGAGATTCCTCTTCATGTGCCCCTACAAGGCTGGAGGTTTACGCACATTTCTGGAGGTGTCCGCGGGGATGCTGTGGAAATGCATTTTTCACGGCCGCCACGGACGGTCCATTCGCAGATTTGACCATGCACGAGCAATCGAATGTGTTCCGGCAGGCCGTGTGTGCTTTCGAGCCGTTGGCCGATAGGTGAGGTGTAGGCAGTTGGCACATGTGTTCTTCACGCGCAGGCGCGCTGCCATTGTGTGTCGGCCCTAAGAGCTGATGCTGGGATCGGGGCACATGGGCGTTGACAGGGAGCCGTGTTTAATTGGTAGACTGGCTGTCTTTGTTTGTCAGTTGGGTGGCTGGCAACCGCGGACTTGTTGTCCCAAAGGCCATTTAGCAATTGATTTGGGCTGTCTGTCGGTTGGACGTCTGCGCGCGTCTGTAGTACACAACGAAAGGTGGTGACCCGAGGAGCGCGTCCAATGTCATTGACGAGGGTCGGAGTCTGTTGGAGCCCGCGCCCCCAGCTATTTACGAGGAATCGTGGCCTCGAGCCCGGAGCCGATGTCTCAGAAAACGACGGTCGGGCCGAGGAGCAAGTGACAGCTTTGCCTGCTCAGGACAAGATGTGGCGCTTCTGGATTTAGGTTCGGCAGTTCTATTACAGGAGGTCCATCGAGAAAACCAGCCGAAATCTACAGACATTTTGAGCAAGACACCCAACCCCAAAATCTTCAAAACAAAGCCAACACCTTGGAAAATCTCAGTGTTGTGCCCTCGTGGCCTCGGGAGTGCCAGTGCCGAGCAGTTTAGGGGGGGGGTGCGGCCTCGGCGGCGCACACTCGTCGTCAGTTACGTGGGGGTGTTGCCTCGGGAGCGCGAACCTTGCGTACTGTAAGCCTCCCAGATGGGGTTGCAGCAGATGGGGTCGGAGGATCGCTCCGCATATTCGACGCACTGGCGCTGCGGCTCGATGCGGAGCCCGACTTTCCCCGCGCTGGCGTCGCCGACGCACCGCCGACGTTGGCGATGCACCGCCGATGCATCGCCGATGTGTCGGCGATGCCGCGCTATCCTCCGACCCCATCGATCAGGAGGGGAAGAAACACACAGACACAATGAATCGACGACTCCCAGGAACATATGGGAAACTATGGTACTTGGGGGGGACGACGAACACCCAGAACATGTATGAACATCTGGTGAATCCTGTTACGTGTGTCTACTTATTTGTGTGCCCCAGGGCCCCTTCCATCTACTCCGACCCCATCCAGGAGGAGGCCTCAAACGTCGGATGGAGGTTTGCGTGGGTCGAGTTGGGCGCGGTGCGCCAGGGAGAGCCGTGCCTGGAGAGCGCGCGCCTGGTTTCAGTCGGGAGGGAAAGAGTTACACAGACACAATGAATCCCCGAGTCCCCAGAAGATATGGGAAGATGTGGGAAGTGGGGGGGGAAGACAGAAATCCAGAACAAATGTGAAAATATGGGGAATCATGTTATTTGCGTGTATTGATTTGTGTGTCCCAGGGCCCCTTCATTCAAGGTATGCAGCATGCGGGCTCGTGGGCAGCGGGCCTGGCGGGTTGTGGCGTTGGGGGGGCGCGAAGATGGTGCAGTGTGCTGTGGACTGTGGCGTCGGGATCGTGAGCCTGGTGTTAAGTCGGGCGTGTCCCGCTGCAGGGGGGATGCTAGAGTCAAACTAAAGTATGGGGACGATGTCTTGGCCTTTTTTGAGCATGTGGGGGGGGGATGTTTGGAGTACTTTTAAATGATTTTCGCCCCACATCCCCCTGTAGGGGGACACGCCCGACTTAGACCTGGCGTAATTCACACGGGGTTGTGGCCTCGGGGGCGCCAAGGCGGTGTAAGCTACAAGGAAGTGGGGGCTAGGAAGCCGCGGACCTGCTGCAAGGCGACCCACTTCTGGCTTGTGGGGCGCGGGGCTGGTGCATTCTCAATGCGATTGCGGCTTGTGGAGCGCGACGTTGGCGTGCCCTACAGAGGGAGTTTGGCTTCGGGGGCGCGGTCTTGGTGTACTTTATCATGCCATGTGGTCGGTGGAGCGCGGGCCTGTTGTATGTTGGCATGGTCGTTAGCATGTTGTGGAGCGCGACCCTGGTGTAGTTTGCATGAGGTGATGGCGTGTGGGCAGCGACCCGGGCGTACGCGGCTGGGGATTGGGGCTTGTGGAGCGCGGATGTGATGGGATGGTGGTTCCGGGAGCGCGAACATGGTGTAAGTTTCGAGGGGGTGTGGTGGCCTCGGGAGCGCGAAGTTGTTGTATTCTACTTTTTCCAGCCCCCCCCCCCCCCAAGGGGTTCAGATTCCGTTCTGTTGGCGGGGTTCGCAAGTTCTTTTCCGCCCCCACCCCTATCGCTGCCCCCTCGCGAGGATTGCAGTCACTGCAGCAGTGGAGTTAGAAACGGTAATACATACAGCTGCAGCTTGGAAACCAGAAGTGTTGCCGGGAACAGGGCAGTCTAGCCCACGCAAGCCGCGTGTCGGCAACGAACGGGACCGATGGAGTCCCCGTATGTGGCCTCATCCCTGTCCTGCGACTACCCCTCGGGCTCACTGTGCTCCTGTATGGTGCTCCTCTTGCTGTTGCTGCTCCCGCTCCACCTCATCTCCCCCTTGTCTTCCTTCTGTGAGTTCACTCTCCCTTCTTCTGGTGCTCCCACGTCATAGTGCCCAGTCCTAGCCCTGTGCCTCCGATCTCACCCCACCTTCGTCCAACATTATACCTCTGAGTGATGCGTATCGTTACCCCGGCCTTCAGCACTCAAGCTATCCCCGATGCCATCCCCTCCCCGCTCCCGATGCTGCTGTTGCCGCTGCTGCTTCTTCGCCTTCTCCACCTCCGTATCGGGGTCATTCATGTATTGTCCCACCATACCCTACCATACCATGATACCGTATCGGACGCCACCCTAGCAAATCATGTTTCAGTTCCCTTTCAGCTGTTTGCTCCTTCTTGGGCTACCACCGCGAAGGTGCAGTCCTTGCTGAACAAGGTCTGCCCTGAGAACGTGGCTTCGGTGATCGAGAAAATGAGCTCCATGGAGGTGCCACTTGTGCGAAGTAAATGTGAGAGGGACTCGGAAAGGTGGGGCAGGATCTTGTGGCATGGTCGTACAACATACGGTCCGCAGCGAGACACGGTTGACAAGCGAAGCACAAGACTTTTTTGGGTCCAAAGTTCAGACAGGGCCTCAAACATACATTGGCTAGGGTACCACGGGGTGTGCGGTTCCACGAGTCGCGTGGGGGATGTGATTAAGAGTGCACAGCAAAAGGGGGGTCTGGTGTGGAAGGAAAGGGAAGGGGGATAGGAAGAGTGGGCATGCCGAGGGAAAGGGGAGACGTGTCGCATGAAGCCGTTCGTATGAGGTGTTGTCGTATCGCGTCCTTCGATTCGCGGCTCTGAGCACCGTTTCAAGATGCCGCGGCACGGGCATCGACGGCAATCTCTGGGATCCGATGTTTCATGCCGCCCCCCAGTGCAACCGCATCACTGCGAGGAGGAGGAGGAGGAGGAGGGAGAGGCCGTGGAGGGGAATCGGGATGGAGGAGGCGCAGGAGGAGAAGGCAGAGGACGGAGGATGACGACACGGATGACAATGCGTACGAGGATAAAGAAGACCGAAGAGAGGGGCAGCACCAGGAGGAGGTGATGGCGAGGACGAGGGGGGGGAGGAGGCGGGAGCCCACCCGGAACCGTGGTCGCCAGATCTGGTGTGCACGCGCCCACGCGGCAGGCTTGCCCAGCGCAGGGACGCTGCCGTGCCATTGCCCCTCGCCCCTCGCTCGGAGGGAGGAGAAGCGATACCAACACCACCAGGGCGCCCACCTCCAGCGAGGAGGTCCACGATGCCTCCCCGAGCTGGTTGCGGGGGATGTCTCGAGCGAGAGGGGGGGACCACACCACCAGGGAGACTCCCCTTGCCTCCTCGCACCTCCTCGCCCTGCTGGTGTTGGTGTCGACTTTCCTTCTTCCCACCCCGCGATGTTGGCCGCGCCAGCTCCTCCGCACAGGCGCTCAGCGGTAACCGTCCGCAGGGGGGGGGGGGGTACACACACACGTCGGGGGGGGGCGAGAGCCGTCGGGAGCTCGCCAGCGTGTTGCTCCTCCTCCTCCCCCTCCTCCTCCCCCTCCTCCCCTCCTCCTCCCTCCTCCTCCTCCTCCTCCTCCTCCTCCTCTTCCTCCTCCCCCCCCTCATCCCCCTCCCCCTCCTCCTCCCTCCTCCTCTTCCTCCTCCTCCTCCTCCTCCTCCTCCTCCTCCTCCTCCTCCTCCTCCGCTTTCGACACCCACCCACGGCCTGGCAGGCCTGTGCTCTGGCCGCACGCGCGCAGGAACTGCATGCTCTGAGCGTGCACTGCCGCCCAGTGGCCATCTTCCCCTCCTTTGGGCGTCGCGTAATTCGGGGGGGAGATGCATGGCGGGGCAGCCAGGGCCGCAGAAAAGGCGCCCTTGCCGGTCTTGAAGGGGCCCTTTAGGGCCCAGAGGGGGGGCACTTCGGCTCCAGAAGTGAGCCTTCCTCCCTCCCCCAAATTATCGCCCCCCCATTAAACGCCGCCCACGCTTCCGCGCGCTCTTCGCGCCCAATTCGGCCCCGCAGTGACCCTCGGATGCGATCTCCAGCACGGCCTGGTACCAGGCCGGCGGCCCCAAAACAGAAGACCTTCCTGATCCTTCTCCCGGCGCCGAGGATAGGGGCGAATAGCCCAGGAGCGGGCATTGCCTCCGGGAATCCCGCCGAAGACATAGACTATCGGCGCCCCCTCATATATGCATTGCTCTTCCCTTGGCTATTCGCCCCTATCGTCGCTCCCGGTTCTCCGAAGACAGGGTGTTTCTTCACCAGTGCCGCACTGATGTTTTTTTCAGGGCGACGCGTCATTGATATAGTTTGTGCCCACCTGTTACCCCCTTTAAAAGCCCCGAGCCGCCTCAAGGATTTAGCTTCGGGGGCTTAGGCAGGTGGTGGATATCGATGCGCGCGGGCTCTTGGGGGGGATTCGTAGCGAGGACGAGTCGAGCACCAACAGGCACCGTGCAGGACGAGCGCAGATTTAAGTCAGGCGTGTCCCTCTACAGAGGAGTATTCCAAAATAGTCATAAGATTGTCCGGGGACGATGTTTTGAATTTGTTTGATCTTTTGGGGGTATTGTTTGAGTTTTTCTTTTTCGTCCAACATCCCCCTGTAGGAGGACAGGCCCGACCTAAGCGTATAACACATTCAACGATAGTTTTTGCTGCCGAAGGGGTCAGCGCATCGCGGGGGGCAGTGCCCTGATTTGTCACTCTCCCGCCGCGGGGGGTTGCCAAGGGCCATCCGCTCGGGGACTTCATCTGCGGGGGCCTCGGCCAGCGGCGGATATCAGTACACTCGGGCCCTGGGGGGGGGGGCATATTGTTTTCGTGGGCGGTGCATGAGTACACCAAGGCACTGTGCTGAACGAACAACGACACCTTGTGCAATACGAGTCGACCTGCCCAAAAAAACGCCGCATCTTGGGAAACTGACCCTCATTAATCAGCCTCCATCGCGGGGTGAAATACATCCTTATTCGCCGCCTGCCGGGGTCCCCGAACAGATCGACCCTCCACCAGGATGTGGGATAGGGGGGGGGCAGTATCAAGAAGCCGGGCAGGTTGAGGAGAGCCGAGATGCAAGCTCGCGACCGACCACCCGTTGTCCCCAGCAGGTCAGAACGGCAGCCCAGATGGAGGTGGTTATTGAGCTCATCTTCAAGAAGGCTCTGGCGGAGCCGCACTATTGCGAGACCTACGCCGACATTGTATTCGGTTGCGCCCCCCTGCAGTGGACGAGCGGGCTAATTAGGAGGGAGGAGCGAGGCGTCGGACGAGGCGGAACGTCCGCAGCCCGAATCCCGTTCACAGGGAGGGGCAATTTGTTCAGCTCCAGCGGCGCTGCGTCGTTGGCCCGCTTCGTCACAACGCTGGTGTCGAGAGCCTCCCCCAGCGTCCACCTCCGAGTCCTGCAGGGTCCATTTCGACCCGATTCGGTATTGGTTCTGGCCGGCTCGATCCAATTCGGTTCTCATCTCCCAGCCATCGGATGCGGCCCGGTGTTCGCACGGTTCGGTTGTGCATCTTGGCGGGGCCGAGCCGAGTCGATTCCGACGCCGTGCCGATGCAGCCCGATCCGCCGCACATGCCAAGCCGATCCGATGTTCTGGCACGATGCCGATTGCTCTTGACCGAGAAGCTCGGACGCCTGACAAGGCAGCCGCCCAGGCTGTGCCTTCATCGCGGCGGCTAGCTTGCCTGCCTCTGTGCCCCAAGCTGGCGGATTGGCGCGGGCAACCCGAAGCGCTGCTCGACCGAGCCAACAATGGCTACGGGAGCAAGCTGGCTGATGATGATGAGGAGGAGGAGGAGGAGGAGGAGGAGAGGGAGCAAGAGGAATGGGGAGGGAGGAGGACGAGGCGGGGGTGGGGCATAAGGCATGGAGAGGGAGGGGGACGGGAGGAGGAAGCTGTGGAGGGGAGAAGCCGAAGAATGAGGAACAGGAGGAGGAGGAGGAGGAGGAGGAGGAGGAGGAGGAGGTCGGGGATGCGTTCTGGTGTGCGTATGTGCGTGTCCGAGTGGATTTGCAGAGCGATGTGAAGCTTCGAAGGCCTCCCCCTGCGTCGTGGTTGCGGCCTCACCGCTGCAGCGCCGGCCCGGCGCCTCCTCAGGGAAGGAGTCCACGCGTCCACGCGGTCTTGTGATGCGTGATCCACCGCCGCTCCGAAAGTTATGTAAAGTTTCCGAGTTGGGCCCGATGGCAGTGTGTGCTCGCCTACGTTGCACCCCTCTTGGCAACGGCCCCGACGGGGTTGGAGGGGCAGGATGCGTTCAACCCGCCTACCCCCCTAGAAGCCTAGCAAGGTAGCCCCCTGTCAACTATTGAATTATAGTCCAGCCAACCATACATCCCACCCATAAACAATAGGGTCTGGATGAATCCCGCGGTGGGACCCAATCCAGCAAATGTACGACGCGTTCGGGTCGTCTTGAGGACACCTTGAAATCATCTCCAGGTTAGCTTAAGATCATGGCGTTGTACTCTGGGAATGCCCCGGCCACCTCGGGGTCACTCTGGGGCCACCGCGCCTGGTCTTCAGGGTATCGCTCACATCTTGGGCCACCTTGGCTTCGCCCCCAGGCGATTTCGACGCTGTGTCTGGATCCTGCAGGGGCCACGGGGTCTTCTCGGGGTCGCCCGGAGGTTATCTTCGTGCCCGGCTGAGGCCGTCGTGGAACCATCTTGGGCCATGGGGCCGCCCAATCATCCTGTTTGGGTCGTCTGGGGGTCTTCCGTGTTTCCCAGGAAACTTTCGTTACGCCTAAGTATCGCCTTCCTGCGCTTCTTTTCCTCGCCCTTCTCGTCGGAGGTGCGCCTTGCCTGTGGCCCTGCCCAGGCTTCCACCGCTTCGCGCGACCGCCGCCGCAGCGGCAAGCAGTGCTCTTGTGCTGCAGTCGGGAGGACAGCTGCCCAGTACGGTTGGGGCTCAAGAGACGGGGGGTCAGCGCAAACGGGGGTCAGCCCTCGTCCTTCTCCTCTCTCCTCCCCGTCCTCGTCGTCGTCCTCCTCCTCCTCCTCCTCCTCCTCTTCCTCCTCTTCCTCCTCCTCCTCCTCCTCCTCCTCCTCCTCAAGCGGGGGTCAGTCAGAGCGCGGGATACTGCAGGACCCTGCAAGATTGCGCAGGACCCATGCAGAGCATGACTCACCCGGTCTCTCCGGAGGAGCGCAGGCCTCTCGTCGGGGCCGGCGCCGGACGCCCCCATCGCCGCCCCGGGTGCGGTCCGCGCGCCAGGGAGTCCGGCGCCGATCCGAGCTCCAAGGAGTCGGCCACCTCGTCCCCTAAAACGACGCGAAGATCGGGACAAAATCGGATCGGGATAACTCGAGATCTCTGAGAATCGGTGGGTTTGGAGGATGTATTGGGCGCCGCGGCCGCTCCAGAGCGTTCTGGAACGCTCTGAGAGCGCTCCGGAACGCTCTGGAGCGATTTATCCCGATCCTAGCCCGGTTTTTTCAGTCCGGCGCCGATCCGAGCTCCAAGGAGTCGGCCACCTCGTCACCCCTGGCGCGATGCAGCTGCTTCCGTGTGCACCCATCGGTCGCTGCAAGGAGGTCTGCTGGTGTTCCCCATGTTCCGATCTACTTTGGGGGCCGTCCTGCTTCAATCTTCGAGTGGCTTTACCTCTCCCGCCCTCTTTACGGGGCTGGCGGACACCCAGTCTACTTTCAACGCCTTCTACTTCATGCTTCCACCTAATTACTTCCGACCGATGGTTCATTAGTCTTTCCTCTACAGCGTGCCATCACCGGTCGAGCCGTCACGCGCGGGTTCAATTAATTATCCCTCCTCGGTACGCCGGCGCCCTGGCCAAGTCGGGGTTGAGTCGGGCACGTCCCTCCACAGCAAGAATATTCAATAATAGATCAAAATGATATGGGGACAATTTTTGGTTATTTTAAATCATTGTTGTATCTGGTTTGACTATTTCTTGTTTTCTCCTAAATCCGCTTGTAGGGCGACACGCCCGACCTAAAGTCAGCGCCCACGTGAGGAGGTTCAGGAGCTTAGTGGGCCCTGGAAACGACAGGGATGTTTTTCTGTCACCGGTTCCGTTTTGCCGTTTTCGCAGTCGGTTCCGACGCCGTTTTTTATGCCAACCTTGTCGCCATTGGTTTGCTTGTTCTGGCTCAGGATCCAGTCCCGCAGCCGTTTGTCTTGCCGCTTCCGGTGGCTGTTCTTTTTTTGCTCCTTTTTTTTTCAAGGAACATGTTTGGGGAAACGGTGCAACAAACCCCCCTTGCGGAGCCAGGGCGGCAGGCCACCCGCAAGTCGGGCAGCCCGCGCCCTGGCCCTCTGCGGGTCCAGGTCCGTCGATTTCGGTCCCAGGCCGTTCTCATTAAAGGGAGGTTTACTAAAGGGAGGTTTGTCCACCGCCGACCCACGAGAGCTGGCGGGAAGAGGGGCGAAGAGACACATGTAGTGGAGCAAAGCGGGCAACCAGGGTGAACATGAGAGATCTGAGGGAGCAAAGGGGTGGCTTTGGAGGGCCTCCTCCGGCCATCCACAGGGCCCGCGCGGGAGCGAGGGCAGGAGGAGGAGGAGGAGGTAGACGACGACGACGACGACCATGATGACGGTGGAGGATATTGGGGTCCTCTTGGAGCAGTTTTGGAGCATTTTGGGGCCATTTGGAGGCTTTTGGGAGGGTCTTGGGGCCCTCTTGGGGCTCTTTTGGGGCGCCTTGGGGCCTTCATGGGACCCTCTTGGGCTCTCTTGGGGCCCTCTAGGGGGCATCTTGGGAGCTATGGAGCGCCTCCTGGGGTCATCTTGGAGACCATCGATCAAAGGAGGGGGGGGTCCTCGATGTCCCTCCCCCTCCGGGGCCATCGACATAGCCTCTTCGGGCGCTCTTGGGGCGGTCTTGAAGGCCTCTTGGGCCCTTCTTGGAGCTCTCTTAGTCCAGCCTAATTAGGGCCATCTTGAGGCCTCAATAGCGCATCGGCAGCGAAAAGGCGAGAAGGCACACATCAGTGAATTTCCATAGGTGTTTGAAAGATTTTGGCTCCTCGGGGGGGTCCTGCGGGGTCGCCAAGAGCACCTGGAACCGTCATGTGGCCCTCTTGCTTGGCATCGCTCGGACGTGCGCATTTTCTTTCACGGCGAGGGCCTTCGAGGAGCATCCTGGACCATCTGGTGAAAAAAGCACGCACGAAACCGGAGAAAACACAGGGAATGAACGTCCGAGCGACGGCAAGCTTGGGGCCTCTTGGAGGCACGTCGTTACCTATCTTGAGCCATGCTGGGCGATCTTGACCGATCTTGGATGCCATCTTGGGCTCTCTGAGTCCCTCTTGGAGCCATCTTGGGCGCAAAACGGACCCTCTGATGACTCGCGCCCCCCCCGTCCAGGTCCAGGGGAGGGGGCAGGTGGAGGGATAAACCCTTCCCCGAAGGGGAAGACGGGATTGTGGAAGAGGAAAGAATGACATCGTTAGACCACTCGTCGCCCAGAGGGCTTGTGGGATGTGCCTGCAGGCGGTGTTCAGTAGGTCTCCCGACCGCGTGGCCCAGCGGGGGGGGAGGGCAGCCCGCGGGCGTGAGCCGCGCGCAGAGCGCGAAGAAACAAAGGGTGGAGGAAACGGGGGGAGGGAGGTGGCGGCCTGCCAGGGACGCGTCGAGGTCGTCCTCCTCATCGATCTGATCGAGCTCCTCCGCAGTGCTGGTTCATCCTATTCTCATCCTTTCACCCTCCTCTTCCCTCAACCTCTTGAACTCGTAGGCATCCTCCTCGTCTTCCTCATGTCTCCGCCTCCTCCTCCTCCTCCTCCTCCTCCTCCTGATCATCATCCTCATCACCATCATGCGGTCTCTTCCTCATCAGGTTGTCTCGTCCTTTTCCGTGCTCATCCTGCCCCCATTCTTTCTTGTCACTATCCTCTCGGTATATCTCTCTCTCTCTCTCTCCATCGCTCTGAATTAGACCTTCTCCTCATCCCTCTTCCTCTTGACGCTTTTGCCAGGGCTGAAGTCTGCATTCCCAGAGTTCCAGAACCCTGGCGGCAGCAAGCCGATGACATTCAAGTCTTCTGTGCTCAACATCTGTCAGCACGAGTTCGAGGACGCGGACCCGCCAGAGGGGCAGGACGACGAGGAGGGGGAAGAAGGACGAGACGGAGAGAGCTCTCTGCAGGGGGAGGAGACAGGCAGAGATGAGGATGAGGAAGTTGCAATGGGACTGTCGGAGCTGAAGCAGGACGCAGAGGAGACTGAGGAGGACGCCGAGGTGCCCGATGATCGCATCCAGCACCGACACGTGTCGGGGCGGAACCAGTGCGAGGATGATGACAATGGCGGTGTGGGCTATGCTGAGTTCGATGTCGATTCCTAGGGGATGCAGGGGGATGTGGAGAATGGGAGTTCTGCAATGAGGAGGATATGATTCGGAGGAGGAAAGGGGGGATCGAGGATAACGAAAGGTTCTATCGAGCAAATGTGGAGGAGGATACAGAGGATGCGGATGATGATGCTGATGCTGGTAATGGTGATGATGATGCTGATGCTGATGGTGGTGCTACTGATGATGATGATGATGCTAATGCCGATGTTGATGCTGATACCGATGACGGTGCTGGCGGTGATGCTGGCGGTGATGGTAGTAGTGATGATGATGAGGATGGTTGAAAATAATGATTATGCTGATGATGCTGATGATGATGATGCTGTTGCTGATGATGGTGATGCTGACACCGCTGATGACGATGATCATGATTGTAAGACTCGTGATGCTGTTGACGATGCAGATGTTGACGAGGGGGGTGCTGCTGTTGTTGATCGTGATGCTGGCGATGGTGATGATGTTGATGAAACAGCTTATGATTGTGCTGATGATGATGACGGTGATGATGCTGCTGCTGCTGCTGCTGATGATGATGATGATGATGATGATGATGATACAGGTGCTGGTTATGTTGATGATGATGCTAACGACGACGAGGACGACGATGATGATGCTGGCAACAACGACGACGATGATGATGCTGATGATGATGATGATGGTGCTGCTGCTGCTGATGATGATGATGAGGCTGCTGGTGATGATGCGGAGGACGATAATGCTTAACATGCTGGGGAGGATGTGTTTGATGATGATGTTGATGGTGCTGATGATGATGCTGCTGCTGATACTGATGATGATGCTGATGATGATGCTGCTGGTGATGATGATGACGATGTCGATTATGATGATGACAACAAGGAGGAGGAGGAGGAGGAGGAGGAGGAGGAGGCGGAGGAGGAGGAGGAAGAGTAGGAGGAGGAGGAGAAGGAGGAGGAGGAGGGGGAGGAGGGGAGATCGATCAGAAGAGGATTAGGGTGAGGAGGAGAAGGAGGAGGGGGAGGAGGAGCAGGAGGAGAAGGTATGGTGGTGAGGAGGAGGAGGAGGAGGAGGAGGAGGAGGAGAAGGAGAAAGAGGGGGAGTACCACGAGGAAGAGGCGAGGACCGAGGGGGGCTTTCCTTCACCCCACTAATGGCCACCCCTCCTCCTCCTTTCTTCCGCCGCCTCCCCCCATCCCCTGCCCTGCCCTCCTCTTGGTGGGGCCGCCGCCGACGCCGATCTGGGGCCCGTCGAGGATCGACCTCGATCGATCGATCGGGCATCGATCGATATGTTTGGTCTCGCCTCTGCCGTGAGCGCCGCCCGCCAGGAGCTGCTCGCGGCGCCCGAGCCGTCGGAGGACGAGCGGGCTAAGCTGGACCCCGAGGAGCACTGGCCAGGGGGCCTCCCTGGGGCCCAGTGGGGGGAGGCGGGGCGGGGGGGGGGGGGGCGAGGAAGGGGGGGGGGCACGGGCGGAGGTGGAGGAGGAGTGGGGACGAGGCGGGAGGCGCATGGGGATCTCCCCAGGTTCCCCAGGGGGAGGGGGGAAAAGGGAGGGGAGAGAGGGGGGGGGGACGGAGGTGGAGGAGGAGGGGAGAGGAGGAGAGGAGGAGGAGGAGGAGGAGGAGGAGGAGGAGGAGGAGGAGGAGGAGGAGGCGCTGCTTGACTTGCAGGCGCAGCGCCCTGGCTGCCCCCGGCTTTTGGCGGATGTCACAGTCCGCTGCAGCGTGCCATGGGGAGCTCCGCGCCCTGGCTGCGGCGGCGAGCAGCGACGGCGCCGTGGCCAGGGAGGGGGAGAGCGACAAGCGAGCTCGCTACCCCGCCGGCCGCGCGCCCTGGCGCGTGCTGCCGCGGGCGCTAGAGACGGCAGGGCGCCACGGGCCCGCCGAGTTCAAGCACCTCCGCTGGATCGCGCAGAGCCGCGCCCAGGTTGGCAGCCCGGAAGCCGACGCCGCGGCCAGCGCCCTCGCCGCGCGCTGGGGCGCAGAGCTCAGCACGGCTCTGCACCGGGCGACGGCGCGGCAGCTCCGGACCGCCCTCGGGCGCGAAGCCGCGCAGGCCTCTGCGGCGGCCCTGGCGAAAGAGTCCGGAAGAGCTGGCGGGCTAGGCGCGCCGGCGGGGGCGCCCCGGGCGGGCGGCTGGCGGGGCTCCTTGCCGCCGCGGTCGCCTACTGGGTCGCCGCGATGCCCCTGAATCAGGGGGTGCTGCTTAGCCGGGCGAAAGACCGCCCGCCCTCCGCCGCGCCAGGAGGAGGAGGAGGAGGAGGAGGAGGAGGAGGAGGAGGAGGAGGCCAAGAAGGACGAGAGTCGGGTTGGCCAGGTCGAGCGGGCCCGCGGGCGCCGCGCACTCCGCCCTCCCTCCCGCAGCAGGAGGGACCATTGGCTCCACGAGCTGGTACTTTTTTTTAGGTCGGGCCTGTCTCTCTACAGGGGGCGATTCCAAAGGTAGTCCAAAAATAGTGTGGGGACTATGTTTACAAGATTTGTTGACCATTTGGGAGTACTGTGGGGTATCTTATATTTTTCGTCGAAAATCGACCTGCAGGGGGACACGCCCGACTTAATGATATTTTGGCGAGGAGCGCGTTTCCACCTGGCGACTGCAAAGCGCTCGCGCGCGGTCCCGCTTCCGACGACTGGACAAGGGGAAGAGACGATGGAAGGGGCGCGCGGACGAGGAGAGGATCGCCAGGACGTTTCTGGCGCGGCGATCCGTCCAGAGCACCCGGTCCCCCTTGCGGACCGAGCGCGGTGGAGATGTCTGGCGCGGAGCTCCGCTCGGCGACGGCGGCAGGTCGCCCGCTCGCGCGCGGCCCCGCCCTCAGCAACTTGGCGAGCGAGAGGCACCGTCAGCGCCTGAGCGGGAGCGCCGCGTTCGGCCGAACTTTGCGCGGCGCGGAGGCGAGGGCGAGATGTCCGTCCGTTCGCGCGCAACACCGCTGTCGACGAACTGGCGAGCGTCAGAGGCGCGCGGAACCCAGGCGGGAACCCAACTCCATGGGAACATCAGCGCGGCACCGATCAGAGTGACACTTCGCCCTTCCGCTCGGGATACGCGCCCCATCTTACTCTACTCCCGCCTTCCATTCGCCAGGGAAAAAAAACACCCAAACCCGATAACTGGCGTTAACTAAGCGGCCCTGGGCGTTTATTAACCAGCCCTGCCCTGTTCGATTCTCCACTTGGGCGCGTTCACTAAACGACTTCGCGTGTCGGGGTGGTAATTCCGGGGGTGGGTTGTTCGACCTCTAGTTAAATCGGCAGTGTCGCAAGACGTGCATGTCGAGAGGAATGTCATTCACGTTGTGATACTTAATTTCCAGGTAGGATACAACGTCCCAGATTGAGAGGCCATCGACCAGTTAGGGTGCAGAGCAGGAGTACGCACCCACATTGTATAGTGAACCGGTAGAGGAGCGGGGAAGAGGAGGGTATTCGCCCCACACGAGATGTTTACACGGTCCCTCTGCTCCTTCTCGTCACCCCGCCAGCGGAGCACACGCGACCGCAGAGGAGGGCCAGGAGATCTCCTCTCCTTCATGCCTCTCTTGCTTCTGCTCGTTCATCCTGCTCTTTCCCCAGACCCAGGCCCTCCGACGTCATGACTGTTATAGAACATCGACCCTGGAGATCTCGCCTCCTCCCCGGGGCCGTTTTTGTCATCCCGAGTCTCTCTTTGACGGCCCCGAGGCCCGGTGAGGGCCTCCAGAGGTCCAGACGAGCGCACCACCGTCCGTCGTGATTTTCTCATGTTTCGAGGGTTTCTGGGGACGAGGAACCAGCATGGCCGAGAAAAAGACGAGGCTCGGGAACAGCAGGGTGACCATCCCTGGGGTGCCAAGCTGGGCGAGTGTCCCTCCCTGGGCCGTGACTGACTGCCTCGGTCCGACAGCCGGCCTCGCCGACGAGGGCCTTCGTGGATGGTTTCTCCGAATGGCTCAGGCGGCCCGTCCTCCACCTGTTCCTCCTCCTCATCGTCGTCCTCCTCCTCCTCCTCCTCCTCCTCCTTCTCCCTCCCCCCGTAGCCATTTTGGCTCAAGGCTCGTGGGCGCGCGCCAGAGGCAGCGATGGAGGCACGGCGCTGGGCGGCTGCCAGCGCCCGCACGCTGGCGCGGCGGTTTCGGCGCCAGGCGCGCGACGAGCGCGGCCTGAGCCGCTCCGCGGCGTTGGCGGCGCGCACCAAGGCGATGCGCGCGGCGCTGGCTGCCCACTGGGAGCTGGGCGACGCCATGGGTTGGCACACCGCCGCCATGGGCGAGGCGCTCAGCGCGGCGAGGCTCCTCAAGCTCCCCACGACTGCGGTCGAGGCGGCCGAGGAACTCTGCTGACACGGCAACTGGGGGCGGCATGCGCCCCCTCCTGGGAGTCGGCGCCTCCCTGGACCTGTTCAGGAACCCGCGGTCAAAGGGGAGGTGCTGGAGGACTCCAGGGGCAGGCTCTACGGCGTGCGGCCGCAGGGCGAGGAACTCTTGCTCGCCCTCGGCGTCTGCGGCGAGCCGGGTTGCGGCGGCATCACCGGCGCGCCGAAAGCCGGCGAGGGCGAGGAGCGGGACAGCATCGGCCTTGCGAGCGGGGACGAACACGAGCTGGGCGACAGCTTCGAGGAGCCAGGCGTGGAGGAGATCCAGGTAAACACGGCTGAGTTCCTGGGGGCAACGCTGCAGGAGGTCGAAGTGGAGGAGATCTTCGACTGCCATCCGAAGCTCGTCGGCGGCCAGGTCACCATCATGGGCCACCAGGGCAGGACCCAGTCCATCGTCGGCGCGGCGGTGGGCTTCGGCGGAGCGCAGGTGGAGCCGAAGACGGCGCAGTCCATCGGCGACGAGCAAATTGACCCCTACGCGGAGGAAACCACCGTGGGGCACCAGGGCAGGACGCTCTCGATGCCCGTGGCGAAGGTGAGCATCGGCGACTCGCTGAGGGGTCCTCGCACGGCGGGGGCCCGCACAAGCAACCCTCCTCTTGTCGCGACCGAGGAGCGCGGCGTAAGCGTCCGCCGGGACCAGCGGCGAGTTCGGCGTCCACGGGGCCGCGCTGACTCTACGAGGCGCTTGGCTGGCGTTGGCCCGCCAGGGCCGCAGGGTGAAGCTGCTGGGCACGAGCGGCCCAGTTCTGCGGGGGGCCCGCTCTCGCCTCGAGGGGCGGCGCAGCCGCAAGTGTGTGGCGGCGGCACGCTTCCTAGCCGGGGTTCGAGGTCCGGATCAGATCATGCTGCGCATCCAGGACGTGAAGGGGTGGCTGGCTTGGTGGAGTCTCTGCGCGGGGAGGGGTGGGACACCTCTGCAGCGTGCCCCCGTCCGCCGCCAGGAATCAAGGCTGGCTGCGGCAGGGATCTGCCAGGCGAGTTCTCGCAGCAAAAACCTCCTCCTTCTCCTCCTCCTCCTCCCCCTCCTCGCCCTCCCCTCCTCGTGTCGCCTACGGCCCCAGGGGGGACCGCCCAGGCCTTCGGGCCAGCGCAGATCGGGCCCGCGGGCCAGCGCCCTTCCTGGAAGCGCCTCCGTGCAAGAGCAGGGGTATGACCACCCCGGGACCCCAGAGCCCTGCGGTAGTGAAATTACTATTCCGACGGATGGACCCCACGCCAGAATCTATGGGGGTTGCGTTTTGCTTGTTTCTCGTTGTTCTGGCGGTCACCCTCCTCTCGTCCTTTTGTTTTGCCCTCCCCTTTGTTTCCTCCTCCTATGTATCCTGCCCCTCCTCCTCCTCCTCCTCCTCCTCCTCCTCCTTGTCCATTTCCTCCTCATCATCACCTTCCCCCTCCCCCCATCGCCCTTCCTCATCCTCTTGTTTCCTTTCCACGTGCACCCTCCCATCCCCCCACTTGGGGCAAGCAAGTCGATGTTCATCGGCGCCGTCGCCGCCTCGGCCACCACGCGCGCGTTCGCCGACGTCTAGATCGCGAAGCCTTTGGGGCAATCCCGCGGGTCATGCCTTTGGGGCAACCCCGTGCGCCGCTGGAGCGCGGGGGCGGGTCGTCGGGACAACCGCGCGGGACAGGCCGTTGGGGCAACCCCGCGGGCCTCGAGGTGGGCGCGGCCGCGCTCCGTTCAGGAGGGGGCGGCGCGAAACCCAGCCATGCTGCGAGCTGTTCCGCCTCGGTTTTGGAGCTCCCCGCCATTTCGTCGAACAGATGGGGCGCTTTCCGTAGAGACGGCGGCGGCCTGCGTTCCAGGAGCTTTCGCGTGGGCGGCCGCAGGATCAGCATGTTCCGCATGTGCGTGGCGCGGGACAACATGACGTAGATGCGCACCCAGTTTTGCTCGTCCGACACCCCGTGCGACCAGCATCGGCATCTCTCGCGCGGTCGATGGTGACGCCGCCGCTGCGTCGTGGGATTGGGTTCCGCCGATCGAGTGGCCCTGTTAAGCGCACAGGCGTGACCCCGCTTGGACTGGCCTGCAAGAGCTCGCACCACGTTCCGTTCCCGTGGACCCCAACAGAAACGACAGTTGCGAGATCCTAAAAATCGTTCTGGTTCTAACGTGGAACTGCGGGCCCCATAGCGAGGGCGTCCCCGCTCAGACTTTTTCGCGACTCGCAGACGAGGCTGCCGCTTGAGATTTCCTCAGGACGCAAGCGTGGCTCGGGATGGCAACAGGTGTGGGTTTGGCATGACCCGCTCGGACTACCAATCTACAGCGCGGGCCCCGCGGGGAGGCCGCCCCCGCCCCAAAGTGACGACCTGGACAGGATTTGGGTGACCTGTTCGGACTACCGGCGTAAAGTGCGAGCGCCATAGGGAAGGGGGCTCCCGCCTGATACCTCATCCCACGTCACGCACAACCGACTCGAGGCGTCCTCAGAATTCAGGCGCGACGGGCCAACACGTGACGACCGCGAAATGATTTGGATGACCCGCTCCGATTACCCGCATGAAATGCGGGTTCCACGAGGGTGGGGGGGCTCCCGCCTCAGACTTCCGCGCAATTCATTCACAAACGATGACGTTTTCCGAAAATTCAGGCGCGCGGGGTCTGAAAGTGACGGCGGTGACATGATTTGGATGACCCGTTCCGACTGCCAACGTGAAGTGCGGGCCACATGGGGAGGGCCCCCCCGCCGGAGGCTCCTTCACGATTTACTCACGGATGAGGTTCCCGCCTTACACCGTGCGTGAGTGTGTGAATGCTTGAGTGTGTGAGTGCGTGTATGCGTTTGTGTGTGAATGTGAATGAGTGTGGGAGTGGTTTCGATTATCACGGTGGTGGTGATGAATGGGTGAATGGGTGGGTGAAGGACTGAGTGATGATGATGGTGGTGATGATGGTAACCATGATGATTGACAATATGCTGGTGTGCGTGTGTGAATGAGTGACGAAGTGAGGGGCTTTGGGCTATGATGATGTTAATGGTAGTGGTGGTGATGATGATGAAATTGATGATGGTGATGGTCATGAGGATGGTTGGTGATGATGTGGGTGGGTTAGTGTTCCTGTTCTTGCGCGGGGCGCCCAGAGAAAACAAAAGGCCCACTTTGGAAACACGCGACGGGAGGTTTCTCATTATTTCGGGCCCCCAGAGGCCATTACCGGGCCTCGGGACCGTCACAGAACGACTCATGTGGGGTCGACGTTCTAAACAAGTATGACTCCGGATCAGGGACAGATTCGCTTGTCGCGCTTCAGCCACCTGGATGCTCCCACGCAGTGGCTCATGCTAACAGGGGAAGTTTCCGCCCCCACGTAAGGGGTATGGATGTGTTTTTTTTGTTGTGTGGGGGGGTACAGGGGGCGTTGATCTATAAGACGCCCCACCAGGCCAACCAGTAACATAGTGCTTGTTTTCACTCCTAGTGCGCGGTGCCAGACCGCAGGCACTTGGTGCAAACATGGACGCATGTTGGTTTTGATTTTCTGAGTGTTCAAACTCTTTTGCAGGAGTGGGCTTGATAAACAAAGAAAATGTCCGACACCCACACGCCCACCAATCGCCACGCTTCTCGTCAAGATAGCCTTGCCGTGACATCTGGGTTTGCAAGTCAATCACGGTCACAACCAGAGAGAAACCGGACGTGCACATATTGTCTGCGAGCTTCACGGCGACACTGATGATGCGAATACCATACGTTTTCTCATCACATCCTAAAGTGGGTTCTTGTTTTCTGTGGACACCCCGCGCAGTCCTCCTCCTCCTCCTCCTCACCCGCTCTCCTCCTCACGAACTCACACAATCATCTTCGTCGCCAGTATCATCAACATCGTCCATATAAAAATCAGCACAACCATCTTTATTTGTCTTCCCACAACATCCTTACTCATCATCATCAATTCAATCTCTCACTCATTCACGTTCTCCCATCACTCACCCATCACCACGCCAGGGTCCCAACATGACCATCGGGCATCAACATCATCGTTGTCATTATCAACCACGCACGCCACCATCGTCATCACTATCACCATCCCATCTTAACCATTGACTAAAAAGAGCCTCGTCTTTAAGTAAATCGCGAGGAAGTCTCAAGCGGGAGCCTCCTCCCTATGTGGTCCGCCGTTCATGTTGGTAATCCTGGCGGGCCATCGGGATCCTGTAAGTGTCGTTAATTTCAGGGTCCTCTGGACTGAGAATGAGGGAGTCTCAGGCGACAGCTTCGTCTGTGAGTGAATTTCGAGGAATTCTCAAGCGAGAGCCCCTTTTCTATGGGGTCCGCACTTCATGTGGGTAATCCGAGCGGGCCATCGGGATCCTGTAACTGTCGTCATTTGTCGGCTCTTCTGGTCTGATTATGGAGGAAAGGAAGTCACAGGCGAGAGCCCCTTGCTCATGAGGTCCGCATTTGATGTCCGTAATCCGACCGGGTCATCGGGATCCTGTAACTGTCGTCACTTTTCGGCTTTTGTTATTATTTTTCTTCTTTTTCTTCTTATTCTTCTGGACTGACTCTGGAGAAAGTCTCCGGCGTGGGCTTCGCCTGTGAGTGAATTGCGAGGAGGTCTCAGACGAGAGCCCCTTCCCTATGGGGTCCGCACTTCGTGTTGGTAATCCGAGCGGGGCACCGGAATCTTGTAACTGTCGTCATTTTTCGGCTCCTCTGGGCGGACTCTGGAGGAAGTCTCCGGCGGGAGTTTCGTCAGTAAGTTAATTGCGAGGAAGGCTCAGACGAGATCCCCCTCCCTATGGGGGCCGCATTTCAGGTTGGTAACCCGAGCGGGTCATCGGAACCAGTACCTGTCGGCACTGGTCGGTTCCAACGGCTTGCTCTCGCGTCCCAGCGCCTCGCAGGGTTGCCCCAACGGCCTCTGCCCTGACGGTTTCGCGATCGTGCTATCAGAGAACGCGCCCCTGCCCGGCGCGGCGGCGAGAGCGCCGAGGAAAATCGGCATGCGCCCCCCTACCAGGAGGCATGAGAGGTGCATGAGGAGAACAGGCGGGACGGACATGAGGGGGGGGAAGAAAGGAGGAGGAGGTGGAGGAGGAGGAGGAGGAAGAAACGGACGAAGAGAAACACGAGACATAGAACAAAGACGGCGAGCAAGAGGAGGTGACGGAGGACAAAGAAGACAAGGAGGGTGAGGAGGAGGCGCGACAGAGGGCGAGACTGGGGGCTTCGGCCAGGGCGAAGAGGAAAGAGCGAAGGGCAATCCAAATAAATTATGATGCTGGTTCCTGCCGTCGGAGTTTTTTTGTCATTTCTGGGCGAGGCCCGTCCGAGTGAAAGCTCTCACGGCGTGGACCCCGCGACGGCGTCGATTATCGTAACCACGTTGGCAATGCATTGAGCTGTACCGTGTTGGAGGGCGCCGCCAGTGGCAGTCGGCTTCTCCATGAGTCGATAAGCAATGCGTCCACTGTCAGGTGTTATAGATTGCATTGCGTTTGTTTGCGTCACCAGGGTGGCCGAGGGATGGGTAGCATACGTTTGCATAGGTGGTGGGGGTGGCAGGGTGCGCAGTGCCAGCCCTGTGCCAGCATCTAGGAGTGTCCGTCTTATCAGGATCCAGCGCAGACGCCCATTCTGCCACATGCCAGAATCCCTAGGGTGCTGCTGTGTCTCCGTTCCTGCTGCTGTGTCTCCGCGCCTGCTAGCTCGCCAGCGCGTCCGCTGAAGTGATTGCTCTCTGCACGTGGGAAAATTGCACGCTAGTCGCTGAAGGTCGGTCTTTTTGGAGATCCTGATCCCGTGGCTGCTTCGAGCGCCTTCCTACTTCAAGAGGCGAGCAGTTCTCCCTCGTGCCTCCACTTCAGGGGGCGGGCGAGTGTCCGATCTACTTCCAACGCCTGCCTATGTGAACTGTGGTATCCACTCCTTCTGACCGAGGGGTGTGCAGTGGTGGCCCTGCAGCCGTTGTGGTCCAAGCTGCACGGGACGCGGGCGCTGCGGCGAGGCAGCGGCGCGGACGTGGCTCGAGCTCTCCCGCCTCCAGCAGGTCGGCTTGCCGCACCGAGCTTCCGTGGCAAATCACGGGAGGCTCTTCTTCTTTTTTCTTCTTGCACACCGGACGATTCGATTCTCCGTTGCCCCGATAAGCCTCAAGCTGGTGCGAACTGCCGTTGCCTCGCCGCCGACGGAAAAGTGATAGATGCTCGTTTGGGGGACCTTGCTGGGGCCCACCTAACAGATCTGTTGGATTCTAGTTCGACTCAAGTTCCTCTCAAATGCCACTCAGGTTAGATTCAGTTTCGACTCGGGTTCGACTCATGTTGGACTCAAGTTCGACTCGAGCCGAGGGACATTCGACGCAGCTTCGACGCATGAGTGGAGCGATTTTCTACAGAAAGGTCCCCAGAATGAGCATCTAACCCGTGTGTCCTCGCAATTCCTTATTTAGTTTGCATTGGCGTGCGCTAGCATATGGTAGTCAATGAGAACGCGCCAGTTTAGCGCCGAGTAGCTCCGATGTTGCGTCGGTCAGCGTCGGTCGTTGTTGCTTTTGCGTCGATGTGCGTCGACCGGCGTCGATTCGCAAGGGACAGCAAGATGGCAAGGGGGGCTCCCGTGAGTTGCCACCGCAGGGAGCTGTTCCCAGGCCGCCGTCGAACTCATGAGGCTGCCCGGCATCTGGGGGCCGCGGGATCTCAGCGCGCCTCCGGACGACCAGCGCAGCCAGGGCCCGCTGCGCGTGGGAGAGCGGTGGAATCAGAGGCGGCGTGAGGTAGATGAGCAGCTGCGGCGCGAGCTGAAGCTGCCCGAGTGCTTACCAGGCCCACCTGCCACTGCGAGGCGCTCCCCAGCGAGCTTCGGCAATCCCCCGCCAGCGCCCAAGCCGCGCACGACGAGGACGCAGCCGCCATCCACCCCAGGGCTGGAGAGCCAGGAGTCGGGGTTGGACAGAACCCCCACCCTGACACGTCGATTCGTGAATTGTCCGTTTTCGGTTCTCGAGAGGGCGTCGCGGCCGTCATTTTCCAGGCTTGCGCCCGCCAGGTTTGGGCCCTGAGGTCGTTCTCACTGAACCACGTTTTACTAAAGGGGCTTCTGCCCATCCCCGAAGGAGCCGCAGCCGCGAACTCGGTGGAGCGCCGCAGATCGTGTCCTCGAGAGCGCGGTCGGGCGCCCGTACAGCGAGCGGCGCGCCTCGGCGGCCCACGCGGGGGCGCCAGGGCAGCCCGTGCCCTCGCCCACGCCGCCACCCGGCACCGCGCCGGAGCGCCCGTGGGCGCGGCGCCCGTACACCGAGCCCGGTGGTTCAAATATGGGGTCTTGGGGGATGGGACCGAGATGGCCGAGGTGCCTGAGGCAGCGTAAATTTACCCCTGGGCCCCTCTCCTCCTCCTCCCCCTCCTCCTCCGCCTCCTCCTCCTCCTCCGCCTCCTCCTCCTCCTCCTCCGCCTCCGCCTCCTCCTCCTCCTCCTCCTCCTCCTCCTCCTCCTCCTCCTCCTCCTCATCCTCCTCCTCCTCCCCCTCCTCCTCCTCCTCCTTCTCCTCCCCCTCTTTCTCCTCCTCCCTATAGGGCCCCATCCCTCAGGACCCCATCCTTGAACCACCGGCGAGCGGCGCGCGCCGGGCGAGGAAGCGGAGCCGCCGCGCGGGCGGCCCTCGGCGGCTGCGCCGGCCGCGCCGCCGCAGCGGGCGGAGCGGGCGGAGCGGGCGGAGCGGGCGGAGCAGCTCGCAGAGCGGAGCGGGCGGAGCAGCTTCGCCAGGAGCAGGCGCGCGAGCGCGCCGCGCGCGAGCGCCGCGCGCGAGCGCCGCGCGGCAGAGTACGCGAGCGAGGCGCGGGAGCGCGCCCGCCGCTGCCGCGAGAGCTCGCCCGGGCCGCCGCCGCCGCCGAGGCCCTCGCCCGGTGCGCCGCGGGGCTCGGGGGCCGCTGCCTCGCCGAGGGTCCGAGGAGGGCGAGTTGAGACACCGGTAGGGGCGACGTAGGACTCGAGTTCGCCAGAGCTCGTGTTTGCCGACGCTTTTTTGTGACGAGCCCTTCCTGGATTTCGACGATCCAGTTGTCGTGGCATGTTTGCTGTCGAAGCTCGCGTCAAATTTCAGACTGGGTCTCGTCATTCGTCATTCTCTCGACGGCCTCGCCAGGCCAGCCCGAGTCTCCCGAACCCGAGTCTTACGTCTGTCCAGACCGGTACGGTGGGGGCATCGGGGAAGGAATGTGCCTCGGCGAAGCGCTACTGGGGGAATGCTCCCGCTCGGTTCCACTTGATCCGGCTCAGTGCGACCGAAGCGGGCGTAGTCCTGGGCTTAATGTGGCCTGGGCCGGCTCACTGCCCCATCCATCGGGCTTAACCGCCTCGAGCAGTTATTCCGAAGACCTCTCAGAAATAGCCTCCTGAGTCCTTGCTACGGTGGGGGCGTTGATTAAGCAAGTGCCCAGGAGGCTTTAGACCCTGGCCCTGGATACTCCCTCATCTGATGAGCGGGGCGGAGATGTCCGTGGCCAGGCCTCACCTGGGCTCCTTCCCCGATGCCCTCACTCGGAAACTGGAGCATATACATTACCAGTGGCGGGCGGCTTTTCAATCCCAGGACTTTTTTGAGGGTCGGGGACGACGTCGGGGAGGTGTGGTGTATACTCGTTTCCCCGTGTTCCTCGGGAAACAACGAAGAATGTGTACACAAGAATCCCGTATACACCAGGATCCGCGTTCTTGTGCGAGATGAGATTCAGTGTGAGGCCAGACGAAGGCGTCGGTGTATAGAGTTCGGTTCCCTACTCACCGCAGTCTTGGCTCTGGGGGTGGGGGGGGGGAGGGGGCCCTCGTCGCTACGGCTGGACGCAGCTCGGGAAACTGCTGCGCCTGGACGTCGGGAGGCCTCCGCGGACCAGCTCTTGGAGCTGCCGTGGCCTCCGCTCGCCTTGCCTCCGAGCCAGGGGGAAAGGAGGAGGAGAAGGAGGAGGAGGAGGAGGGGGAGGAAGAGGAGGAGGAGGAGGATGAGGAGGAGGGAGGAGGAGAGGAGGAGGAGGGAGGAGGAGGAGGAGGAGGAGGAGGAGGAGGGGAGGAGCGGAGGCGGAGGAGGAGGAGGAGGAGGAGGAGGCTGCCGCGCTCAGGGGCGCGGGCGCCCGACGGGCAGCCTCGGCGCCTCGGGCGCGAGGTCGGCGTCGCTGTCGGCCACGGCGAGGACCCTGAGGCACGCGAAGGCTCCGAGGAAGAACATGATGGGCGTGTTTTCCACCACCACCACCACCACCACCACCACCACCACCACCACCACCACCACCACCACCACCACCATAAGTTCGAGGGGGGGTGTCCTCCACCTCCTCCATCTCCTCCTCTTCTTCATCCTCCTCCTCCTCCTCCTCCTCTCCTCCTCCTCCTCCCCCCTCTTCGTCCTCCTCTTCCTCCTCCTCCTCCTCCTCCTCCTCCTCTTTCTCTTCGTCCTCTCTCCTCCTCCTCCTCCTCCTCCTACTCCTCCTCCTCCTCCTCCTCCTCCTCCTCCTCCTCCTCCCCCCCCCAACTTACGGTGGTGGTGGTGGTGGAAAACAGGCCCATCAGAACAGGCAACCATACCTGTACCATTGAATGTTTTCCCGTTTTGGAGGGCCTCATCGGAGGCCCTCGTTTCCACCGCTGGCTTCGCCTCGGTCAGAAGGCACCCCGGGAGAGGTCCGGGGAGTAGCGGTATCGGTACCTGTTTGGTTCCCCCAAAGGCCGCCGCCATGCAGCAGCTGGCGGCGCTGCGGGGCGTGCCGAGCCAGCGCGGCCGCGAGCGTGGCTTCCGGGCGCTGCTGCGGGAGTGGCACCCGGACAAGAATCCGCAGAGCGCGGCGGTGGCGACCGCGGTGTTCCAGCTGCTTCAGGCCGAGCGCGGCAGGGTTGTCTAGAAGCTGCGCCCTGCCGCCGGTTCCCACGCTGCCGGGGCAGCGCCCCGAAGCCAGAATGCCAGTGCCGGGATCACCAAAGCAGTTTTGCGCAGATGGTGTTGTCGGGTGACTGCAGATCCCGTTCGTGGAATGGGGCGGGGGGGGGCGTCCCCCAGCACATGTTCAAACCGGGTTCCACTAAACCCAGCTCTGCCACTGCCCGAGCAGTCTTTCAGAGGAGTCTGTCGGGCAGAACTGATCAAGTCAGCGGGGGCAGGGAGCGGTTCCACGGGCAGCGGCGGCGGCCTCAGCAGCGCAAGCCGCCACGGCGCGGATGCTTGTAGTCCCTAAAGGTGTCACATCTTCCAGGCCGCGAAGGCACAGCCGGAGAACGGATGCAGTTGTCGCATTCTCGTGCCAGCTTGCGCATTCATTGTGCTGCGCGTGCTCACCGACTCGAGCTCCCTGGGAGTAGCGCGGCTGGCGAGTGGATCGTATCATCATGTTTTCTAGCAGTCAAGCGCGACAGGAATTGCACACACGCGCTCACGGACCGAATTTGAGTTTGTAAGTTTGTATATTTGTGCCCTGCTTCCGTTGATGTCCACGCCACGCCGAGCACGTCTTCAGGCCAGAAGCCTAGGTGGCAAGCGTGAGTGTCCTTTGTGCCACGCGACTAGGTGCGTGGGGTAAGCTGCTTACGGCTGCGCTCCTCCCAAACCCTTCGCCCGTAAGTTTTTTTGGTTTTTGCGCTCGAGCTGCCATCCGTGGCACACCGCACGCGCGTCGAGCAAGCCAAGCACTTGCGCGAATCTTTTGTCGACAGTACAGTCGGGGCCCTGAAGAAGGAACCCTTTTGGTTGGGGAGGGGCTCCGCGTTCCTTAAGTGTTTCACAGCTTGCCTCAGGTTTTCCTTGTACATTCGATAGGAAATCGAAGTTTAACTTATGGAAAAAAGGGGCCTCGTTCCTTATTTAGGGTTCCTTAGGTCAACGCCCCGACGGTACCGGAATACAGTGGACCTGGGTGCGCTGTGAGCACGCAGCTCCGCAGCGGGATTTGGTAAGTGCACTGGTGGCCCGCAGTGCCACGATCGGGCTGCCTGCCGTGCGCGTAGGCGCTCCAGGTGTTGCTCGACGTCTGGCCGCCGCTGAGTTTTTTGGCGTTGCCCCGTGTGGTGAGCCCCATGCTTCTTTTTCTGGTGGCATGCGTGATGCGTATTATTTGATCCGCTGGACAGCCCAAAAGTTTGGCGCGATCGGACGGTTCAAGTGTGCACCTCCCAGACCAGCTACAACTCGGAGAGGTGTGGTCATTACCCTCTGGAGTGACCCATCGGTTCCCGCATCTCGCCTGCGAGGTCGTCGGGTCGATGGTTTCCCCAGGGTGTCAGGAACATAGCTCCCCCAGTTATGACTGGTAGGCAAGCCTAGAAGCTTGGTGAGTTCGGACGACTATGCCGCACTCTACTTTTGATCGTCTGCGGTAGGTTCGCGCAGCGCCGATACGGCGGCGGTCCCACCGATCCAGAATCGGCCGATTGCGAACGATTTGCCTTACCAGGATCCGCGAACGTTCAAGGTTGATCGGCCAGAAGGAGATGTGTGGGATGCGACCGTGGGGTACAGGAGTTGCACCTTTCCTGCACATTTTAAGGCCAGGCAGGCAGCTTTGAGCCCCCTCAGGACCAAACATGGCAAATTTCCCTGCATCCAAGTTGCCTCCGCCTCTCTTGCCCCTCTTTTGCACTTCCGCCCGATTTCAACGTTCCACGCGGTGCCAGATACCATCGGGTGTGCCAAGGACTGGGATGAATCGTTCCAGAGCCTTCCAGAGTGCTCTCAGCGCTTCCCGGCGCGGTCTGGAACGGCCTCGGCGCCGGATACATTCCCCGGAACTCCCAGATTCCAGAGATCCCCGATGTGTCCCGGTCCGGTTCTGTCCCGTTCTTGCCTTCGTACCACTTCCGCCCGACATTCGGTGGCCCCCGCACGGTGTGCTGACCGCGTGATGTGATGAGTCCGTGGAGGTTCGGAGTCGCCGCGCTCTCGAGGCCCCGGGGGTGCGTCGGGCAGCTGGGCCCTCCGGGGTCCCCAAGCCGTGCCGTGACGGACAGCGCGGTGGGTGTCCTGGGGGCCGTGCGGCCACCGCGCGGTCGGTCACCGCGCGGTCGTGGGACCCCCCAGGAGTCGAACGCTCCGCCCGCTGCCAGGGCGACGCCACAAAGCGGGGTCGTCTGCGCGCCGGCCCTGGCGCGCAAGGCTGCCCGCGTGGGGTCCCGCACGAGCGCCCCTGGATCCCGACGTGGCGTGCCGCGCTGGCGGCCCGCGCAGGCCGCCGCGTATGGCCGCTGCCTCCTCTCGCGTGAGAGTGAGTCGGGCACGTCCCTCTCCAGGGGGGCACGCTCCGAACCAGCCAAGCAATAGTCTGGGGGCAGCTCTTCTAGGATTGTGTGCCTATGTTGTAGCACTGCTGGAGTACAGTCAACCCGCAGAGCAAGGATGAGCAACTTTCCAAAGCTACCCTTGCATCCTTGCCCATTCGGCCCATCCTTGGCCCCTATCGCTGGCCAGCCTCGTTCGAAAAACGTTAACATGGCCCTTCAAGGCCCTTGCATCCTTACCGCGCATCCTTATTCTACGGGTTGACTGTATTGCCATTTCTCTGCCCAAATCCGCCTGCAGGAGGACGTGCCCGACCTCGGCGTAAGACCCCTCTCAGTAAGGGACAAAAGCACAGACACAATTGATCGTCGATCCCCAGGAAAATATAGGAACATATGGGAAGTGGGGGGAAGACGAAAACCTAGAAAATATGAACAAATGTGAGACGTTCTTTGAATTGTGTGTATTTACTTGTGTGTCCCAGGGCCCCTTCACCCTCCTCCTGTCGCCGCGCAGATGCCAGCGCGCGCCAGCCCGGCACGGCCCGAAGGCCTGCCCGGGCCGGGCCTCCCCGTTCCCGTCGAGCCCCTATGGCCAGGAGCTGGACCACGAGCGCCAGGAGCGCAAGAAGCGCATGCGCGCCAACATGCGCTTCATCGGGCACCTCTTCCTGCGCCAGCTGCTGTCGGCGAAGGCCCGCGCTCCGGGGGTGGAGGAGGTGGGTCATATCAGGGGAGGGAAAAGCACCCCGACCCCGACACTTGGCGTTTACTGAACGGCCCTGGGCGTTTACTAAACGGCCCTACCCTGTTCGTTCCTTTCCTTGGATGCGTTTACTAAACGGCTTCGCTTGTCGGGCTGCTTATTATGGGGGTGGACTTTTCTGCTCTCTATAACTCCTGGGAGGCCCTCGCCGCCACCGCCGGATTCGTCCCGAGGTCCTGGTCAGAATGCGCCTGGGGAGTGGTCTGTGAAGCAGCTTCATCGTCGGTTTCCTGTGCTGCTCCTCAACCAGTTCACACCCCCAGCCGAAGCGCCAGCATCGATCGCTGCACGTCGCTGTAACCTTCTGTCCAGGGCCTGCCCTGACCAGGCCCACGATGAAGCTGGAGCCTTGCAGCCCGAACGGAGCATCCCCTGTCGCTCCTCGGTATCGCTCCGCCGATCCCGACCCACAATGGTTACCTCCTCGCCCAGCCAGCCCCCCCCCCCCCCCCATAGGGTGGGGACGGGCCCCCCGCGACTCTTCCTGCGCCAGCTGCTGGCCGCGAGGGCGCACGTCCTCGCCGTCGTCGGCGTCCTGTGCTGCCTGCTCCTCGACATCGCTCCACCGATCCGCAACCCTCGTGGTATCCCGTGGCCTCGCTAGCCTGGTGGAGGACGATCAACGGAGAGGAAGCATGTTGCCAAATAATTTCCAGAAATCTGAAACATGTACTAAACATGTTTTCAACAAAAACATGTAAGAGCATGTCTAAAACATGTTTAGATCATTTAAACGCATGCTAAATTCAATGATAGGACTGTTAGGGTGTCCATTGTCGTGGCATCCGCAACGCTAGCCTTAAGTCTGGGGCCGAATCTTCGTTTTCTGTCAACTGACCCATTATGATTACGTTATGGCTATCTTCCATCTGTCGTCCAAGATCAGGTTGTAGAAGGACATGCCCGAAATATAAGGCCAGCCCACCCCCCACGGGGATGAATGGGCCCCCCGCGAAACCCGAAGAGAACGGCACACGTCAACATCCAGGGGGGTAAAAATTGGTCAGCGGGGCCGAGGCCATGCCGATGGGAACGAAGGATGGGTTAAACGACGCCCAGTTCCGCATCATCGTCACCCCAGATCTCCCACGATACCTTAGTTGGCCACGGGGACGGCAGGGCCGTTTTTTCATTGTTGTCGAAGCCGTGTCTCTTGAAAATGGAATCGGTAAACAAAAACCTCAACCGGAAACGGCGGACAGAGTGACCCTGGAATTAGAACCTGAACCGGAACCAGCAACAAACACGGCGACGGAGCCTGAACCAAAGTATGGCGCCATGACAAGCACGGCAAAACGGAAAAGGGGTAAAAACATATGGTTTTGTCGTTTCCAAGACCCACGAAGCACGATATATGTTTTTTCAATCGCTTCGCTTCTCCTCGATTTCGGCCTTCAGGGCCCGTGGCTCAGGCCCCGAGGCAACGGCAAATTGATCTGAGGCGAAGGAACGACCCCCGAGCGAGCGGTTGGCACTTCGGGGGCCGTGGACTGCAAACATCATTCTTTGGCGGCGCGCGCAAGGGGGGTCTGGGGGAGGGGGGCAGGCTTCTCCGAAGGAGGCTGCTTCTTAGAAGAGCATGTCCCTCTACAGGTGGCAGATTCAAAAACAGTCAGGAAATAGTGCGAGGACGATTGTTCAATATGTTTTACTGCTGTTGAATGGTTTCTATTATTTCTTCCAGTCCGCCTGTAGGAGGACCTGCCCGACCTGGCCCTACATGTGTATGCAAGGCCGGCTCCTTCTAGCAGGCAGCCTCCTTTGAAGAAGCTTGCCCCCCTCCTCCCAACCCCCCCTCTGCGCGCCGCTTGCGCACTGCACCCGCAGATGCCGGCGAACGTCGTCGCCGACCCTCCCCTTATTCTTCTGGACCTTCTGGCCGGACCTCCCGTTCCTTTCTCGATCTGATCTACAGTGGGGGCCCATGCCAAGAAACACCCTGCTTGCCTCCAGGGTGCCTTGGGTTGCTTGGGTTTCGATGGTCTTGCTATGGCAAGCTGGACGTTCCCACCGCCAAAAAATCAGTGAATGCCCTGGTGTCTCAGGGTTGGGTTTCTTGTGGAAGGTTTCTCGTGGTCAGACCCCTACTGTATGTGAGTTTTCTTGAGTTGCAGGAGTTTTCCATGAGTTTCGATAATTCTCCCGCCCTTCCACGGAGGTCGGAAGGTATGGAAGGTGGAGGTGGAGGGCATACCGCTATATAATTTTCTCTCGCTCTTCCCTTTCCTGGGCCTTCTGGGAGGTCCTCGTCGCTACCGTTTGATTCGCGTCGGAATCCTTGTCAGAATGCACCCTGGGAGAGGTCCGCGGAGTAGCGGTATCTGTACCTCTAGTTTTCCCCAACCTTAGAGGTTGCGTGTGTTTCCACACCCACTTACCTTGACGGCGTCAATTGCCACCATTGGAGGGGGCCGAGGCCCTCCCTAACGGTAACCTCGGCCAAAGACGACGCCCGTAGGGAGGGGTGCCAAAGTACCTCCACAACTCTGGCCTGAATACCTGAAGGCGCCAATTGCCACCATGCAGTGTATTCCTTCCTCCGTCTTTTCTTCGGAGAGTCTCGGCACGCTGGAGCTTCCTTCCGATCAGTCTGGTAGCTGGGAATATTCGGGGTCTTCCCGTCCGTTCTCGTCGTCGTCGTCGCCCTCCCCCCTTCTAATCTTCGGCTGGTCCTAGCAAGCCGGAGCTCCCTTCCGTTCCGTCAGGTAGGTGGCAGTCTTCGGGCGCCCCGTGGCGACCCGTACGGCTCGGGTTCTGGTGCCGATTCTGGCGCCGTCATGTTCCCGACGTAGTGCATCGCGATTATTGTTCCAGAGCCGTTTCGTTTTCTTTCGAAGTAAAGACGCCATAAACATTTTGTTGCGCTCCGCGCGGGTTTCTTGTATCTGCGTTGGGCCCCAGCATTCCTTCCCTTGCGGATCGGCTCCAGCGGGTGTAGAGTGGTCGTTCGTTCGTTAAGTCATTCGGAAACGAATTAACATCCGGTTCTGCCGCTTCCATGGCCCATTGAGCGTCGTTGTCGTCGACGTTTGTTTTCTTACGCCTCCCTGTCGTCGTCGTCGCCCTGATCCTTCCTCCTTTTCTTCGGAGGCTACTGGCACACTGGAGCTCCACTCCGAGCGGTCGGGTGCCCTCCGGCAGCGCGCGAGCTACACGTTGTTCTGGCGATCTCGTTGACCGTTCTCATCTGGTCCCGCTTTGCAGCAAAGGCGGAGCGAAGACGAGGCGAGGGCAAGCGAAGATTCGGCGGCGCGTCCAGCGGGGCAGTGCGAGGCGACAGGCCTTCTCGGAAGGCGGCGGGGCTGGCCAGAGGCCCCCCCGGCCTTCTGCGAAGATTTTTTGTTCTGTCTTCGGGGAAGGCTTTGAACATGTCTCAGCAGTCCTGAAGCCTTCCGAGCCTGCTTGAGAGGCCCGCCCCCTCTGCATTCCCCTCCGGGCTTGCCGAGCGGCAGCACTCTCTCCAGTTCGCGCCCTGCCCTCCAGTGTGGAGCGCGGAGGTCCGCAAGGGGCGAGAGCCCCGCGCCCCCCTCCTGGCGTGCAGGGGGGAGGCTGCCGCCAGCGCAGGGGGGGGGGGGGGGGCGCTGCCGCCAGGTGATCGGCTCCGTGCTGTGCGAGCTGACCCTTGTGGAGCAGCCCGACATCCTGCCGGAGGAGGGCCCCCCCCCAGTGATGGGCGCCTCCCTCCCTGGGCTTCGCCACGCCTCCCAATCTTTCAGAGAAGGGAGAAGGTTTCGATGCAGTCGGCACTCTGGAACAAAGACCGCTTTCGGCTCAGGATGGGCTCTGGTTTTCGGGGCCGCTCCTTGGATCTAGGTCGGGGAACCCCTGTTCGTGGCCTAGGCCAGAAACTGCTTTTCTATCCTTATCCAGCGTTCCGTATTACAGCACGATGGTTGCACCGCTACCCTTGCCTCGTCTTCGCATTTGTGGCACTCCTGGAAGGCTCTCGTCGTTACCGCTGGATGCGCCTCAGGACACAGACACAGAGATCAGACCGCACTGCTTGCACGACATAGCTTGAGCGGCCCCGCGCAACGGTTGTAAATCAACCTCAAGAAACCGCCCCGAGAAATGCCGCGCAAGAAATTCCAAATATTCTGAAAATTAATTAGAGCATCGCTGAACATTTTTGCAGTAATGAATTTCGATCACCAAGAATTATCCAGTTGATGAAGCACTTGTGCGCTGAAAATTAGGTTTCGTCACGATATTGCATTGCAGTGCTGGCCAGAAACGCAGTTGCGTTGATAGTGGTGGCGTTGGCCTTGGCTTGGGTGTGACACAGCCAGCCTCCTGCTCCGCCTCGTCCTCCTCCTCCTCCTCCTCCGCCTCCTCCTCTTCCTCCTAGTTGGTTTTGGCTTAAGCTTCGTCCCGCAGGGTCGCGCCCGCGCCTCCCGCGTCGATCCTGATGCCGCCGACGCAGCGTGCTCGCGCCGCCGCGCCGCTCGAGGCCGCCCGCGGGGCGCTCCTCGCGGCGCACGCGGCCGCTGGGCCTCGGGCGGCGCGGAATTGCGTGAGGCGGCTCGCTTCCTCCGCGCCGCCGAGGGCCTCATTCGCTCGGCTGTCCTGCCGCCCCGCCTGTGCCCCGCCCTCGGCGGCGCCCACGGCGACGCGGGCGCGGCGGCGCGCGCGGCCTTGCTGGCGGCAGCGACGACGCGATGGAGGCCGAGGGGGACGCGGCGGCGGCAGCGGCGGTGGCGGGCGGGCCCGCGGCGCCTCCTTCGCCCCTGCTGGACGACTCGTGGGCCGAAGCGCTGCCCCCGCGGCAAGCGGCGGCCCCTGTGGCGCCGCTGGAGCTTGCTGCTGCTACGAAGGCCCTGGCCTTGCGGCTCGGCGTGGCGCCTGGCAACCTGCCCGGCCTCTTCATGGAGGCGGAGGCCCGCGCCTCGGAGCTATCTGACGACGAGCGGGACTTGCTGCACCGCGTCGCGGCCCTCTTCGAGGAGAACTCCGGGGCGGGCGGGGGTGGCAGTGGGGGGTTGGCAGGGGGGCTCGCCGCGTAGCGAGCAGGCCCGCCGCCCCTCCCCCCCGTCCGCCGCATGGCGCTCGACTTCTGCGGGTGCCACATCATGCCCTTCTGAGTCGTCGGGGTCCCGTTCCCGGACGGTTCCTCGTTCGATGCTGCGTCCTGCGTCCTTCTCTTCCTCCTCTACTCATTCGTCCTCCCCGTCCAGGCCGTCGGCGTCCTCTTCCTCCTCCTCCTCCTCTGACCTCGCTCCTCCTCCCCTCATTTCCTCTTCCTCCTCCTCTTCCTCCTCTTCCAGGGGCCTCCGGGAGGGCTCCGAGGACCCCCCAGGGCGCGCGCGCGTGCGGCGGGAGGGGCTGAGGTGGAGGATGAGGAAGAGGGGGGAATGATAATGAGAAGGAGGAGGAGGAGAACCCATAGGATGAGGAGGCGAAGGAGGAGGAGACGGACGTTCCATCTTAGTTCCTACGTTTCCTTATCCCCTTGTCCTCGTTTTCCTTTTGGCTCTTCCTGTGACGTTTCTTCTTCCTGCTGGCTCCTCCTCCTATTCGTCCTGTCCCCCTCTCCCCTTCTCCTGGCGTCCAGCCGCCTCCTCCTCCTTCTTCTTCCTCTTGCGTCGCCTCCTGGTTGCCCTGTGCCGCCTCGTGGCTCAGGGCAGTGCTGCCATGTCCATTTTGGACGTGGCACTTGCCGCTGGCGGGCAGCCAAGCCTAGGCGGGCTGCTGCCGAGCCTCGGCGTGGCCCTGGGCAGGGCCACCGCCGAGCCGGCCCCTGCACCCGCAGATGGGGCGCTGGCGGCGTTCGAGGCGGCGCCGGCGCGGCGGCGGGCAGCCGTCGCGCCCAAGCGCGGCAGGCGCGGCATGTTGTGCGGGAGCGCCCGCGCCGCGTTGGCGCGGGGCTACGACGGGCTCAAATGCAGCCACGACCGCAGGCGTTGCGGACCATCATCAGGGAGGATGTGGATGAGGATGAGGATGAGGATGTGGATGAGGATGCGGACCAGGATGAGGATGTGATGTGGATCAGGGGGAGCAGGGGGCTGAGGAGGCGGACGGGGAGGAGGAGGTGAGGCGGAGGGGGTGGAGGAGAAGTACTGGGAGGCGGTGGGCGAGAAGGAGGGGGGAGGGGGAGGAGGAGGCGACAACGGAGGGCGAGACACAGGAGTAACGCGAGGAGAGAAGGCGGAGAGTGACCAGCAGGATGGTCTATCCTGTTGTTCACCCCCCATCCTGCTGATCATCCCTCAACGGGCCATTCCTCCATCCTGGGTGGAGGACTAGGCCTGTTGAGGGATGGCCGACGCTCCCGAGGCAGCTGCGCTTCGGCGACCTCGCGCGTGCCCGCTCCATGCTGGGCGTGGTGCGGCGCGGCCGCGAGGTGGCCAAGCGGCGCGCCAGGCCGGTCAACGCCAAAGGCGTCAAGCGGCAGATGCAGGAGTGGGACCTGTCCTGTTGCCAGGCCGCCGCGTACCGAAGCTTGGTGCGCGGCGGCAGGCCGCCGGCTGGGAAGGCTGGGCGGGCGGGCAACCGTAGTGGTAGTAGTAGTAGTAGTAGTAGTAGTAGT